ATAAATAAGTGTACATAAAAATAAATTAGTTCTGCTATTTTCAAAATAGCTAAAATCCAAATGCAGGCTGTACTTCCTTATATGTATTAGTGTATGTGAAGCGAAAATTTACAAACTTAACAATAAAATTGCCTTTGAAATAGTTTAAGTTATAAAATTGAATACTAATTTAGGAAATTCGTAAATCACATGACCCGTTTTGCAAATTTTATCAATGATTCATTTCGACAATGCAAATCCTTCATGAATATACCTTTATCGTTAAAAACAATTTTATGACGCTAGATGTAGTCTGCTTAAAATTGAAAAACGTACGCCACGACAAATGGCTTTATGTTATTCTGTCCGATTTTATTGTTTTTCGAAATTTCTTTGTCCCCAGCATCTTGCTGATATCAATTTTAAAGTTAGTACCTGCAAACAATATCATCATAGCGCTGCTACAGTATACCAGGCTGAAAATTTGTTTAATGACCAACAGTTATTTGGCTGATGATGTCCTGGCTGTTGGATGCCGATTTTGAGTAAGAGTAAATTATTTGCATTTTTTATTGATATCTTTCGTTTTTGTTTGTTTAGCTGAAGCACAGCTATTGTGGATAATAGCAGTTCAAGCTTACTGTTGTTACCGTATCTGAAGTACAGTTTACTGTCTCTTGAAAGACATGAGCAGTACTAATTTTGGCCGATCCATCTCGCCCGATACCGTACGTCAGTTGTGGGCAATATTGGACAAGTTGAAGGTGGCGAATGTCCCTGCCACGCTTCAGAATGTCATCACCCGGTCGCAGCTTATGTACAGCTGGACGGTGGAGGAAGCTGACGCACGCATCAAGGAGTGCATCGAGTCGAAGCTGATTGTCGGCGTACGAGAGCCGGGGCAAGCTGCAGATTGTGTGGTCTACGATCTCCCGGAGAATAGTCCAAAAGTGAGTACATCTGACATAGTGTCGAATTTCGTGCCTTTTGTCAAGGTTTAAGATGCGTCTGCCATCTAAATGACAATATTCCCTTCTTGTGGCAATGATGTAAATCAAGGCCAAACAGTAAAATCTACGGTTATCCAAATTCGATCGTGACAAATTTCGCACAGAAATGAGTTTCAGATATTTTTACTTCGGTGCCGCGTTCATAAAAAATTGGCGGTACTTTATTTCTGTCGTAACGAAATCTTGTTTACTTAAGTTCAAAATTTTGCCGCGAAAAACGAAGCATCCTTGGTTTATCACTTTCTTTTATTAGATGTATGTAGTTTCAGGTATCTTCGTTCTAATTTTAACATGAAAAAGAAGAAAACTCTCATTCAGGATTGACAAGCGCCTTTTGATTGTAACATAATAATAATTATAGTCACTGGTCCACTTCTTATGCTGATTATTGCACTGGATCAGCATCATTCAGTTATCGGGGGGGTGTCTAGGCTTAATGCAACCACGGGGGCATTTGCAGCGGACAGCATGAGAGTACACATAATTCATTCTGGCATGACCAGAGCATCATACTGCTTTTCTTATTCGCAAGTCATCGAATTCCTACATACTTCTCAGCCGGTTGCGCCGAAACAACATGAAGTTAATTTCTTGCTCAATGGAATTCGCCTTGAACACAAAGATAGTCGTTTCAGCTGGTTCGTATCCGAACTTGCAGAGTTCTAAACCGATCTTTTTGCCACTGTGTCACACTCCCCAGGACCTATAAACTGTAAAATGAGACAAAAGAACTGTACAATATTGTAGAAAGAGGCTTCTGCGGCTGATAAATCACACCTACCGATGTTTTCGTAAATTCATCATAGATCTTAAGCTTATACAAGATGTATCTGTTGAAAAGCTGCCAATACAGAGGGCAACACCCAACTAGAAACAGTTTGCTTATTCAGTTAGCTCAGGGTAATGATCAGAACAGATTCATTTAGGACCCTGATAGCAGTGAGTTATCCTTTATCATCGTATTTTTTGTTTCGTACTGTTTCATCTCTCCCACCCCCCCTCCGCGTTCTTGTTACTTACGAAGCGAATGCGCAGACGAAGGCTGGCTCTTTGTTAAATCCAGAATAATGTTGAATAAATCGAGGGAGAAGTGTACTCGATTGTCGTTGTGCTGTTTTTGATTAACTTCTGTCTCCATTTCAGGAGGAACCTGATCATGATTGGTATTGTTTCGAATGTCATGGTGCCGGCACCGTTGTTCCGTGCACTACATGCTTTCGTGTCTACCATTCGACATGCATGCCATCCCCGGCAAATAGCGCGTCTTCGTTAGTGTGTTCCGTTTGTCAGGTTTGATTGGCGGATTATTGCTGCCTTATGATCACATCCGTTTTTTTCTACCATTTGCCTTTGCAGATGTTGCTACGAGTACCTACATGCGATGTCACAGCTCATCTTACTAGCATTATTTCTGGCATCATACCGAAGGTTAGTGTTCTGTTGCTTTTTCCTAGTATCTGTTGCTTGGTTGTTTAACTGTGTGATGTTCATCGAGTCATAGAGTAGTAATATAGAGTAATATGCCACACTATGGATATAAAAAAATCGTCATATCTTAAGAAAGGCAGTTTTTCTGATACATTGCAGAATCTTGGTTTTTCAGATGACGTCATAGGTATAAATTTGTGATTTTTTGCACAGTTGCTTGAATTCAGCGGAACCGCTGACATACCCAAAGACGCATATTTATCTAAAATAGGCCAATATGTTCGAAGCTGCTTGTCAGCATCACAGGCTAATATGCTGAATTTAGTTGAATAGGCTGCGTAATTCCTTTTTTTGCGGAAACGAATTATTGTTTTTGAATGTCACAAACGGGTAAATAGAGCATAGACATTTTTTCGTTTATTCCTAATGCTCGTAAGACTGACATTTCAGACCATCTATAGAGTAACAAACGGACTGAATACAGTGAGTTGCCATTTTCCATAGTACAGAAGCGCCAGGTTTGGCTATATGGATTTTGCATGTTGGCCTCATTGGATTTAACAGCGATGCGATCAAGATTACATTGGAGATTCTCGTGAGAACTTTAAGCAGTTGGGGGGACCTAGTCGAACTTTTACAGCTGTGACGTTCTTGGCGTCTAGACAGCGATTGCTGACCCTGCGACTAGAATCGCAGACACTCTTGATGGAGATCAACCAATTGAATAAAATCATATTTTTATCGTTATATCGTTACATGTCCACATGATTCTCCTAAATGCAGCCTTTTTGCTGATAGGCAGTTAAGTCTCTCTTGTCTACCACAAAGTTCGTTTCTATCCTCTTGGCTGTAGGCCAACCAGTTTTAAACTACAAAATTCAGCGGTAGCCCCAAATAAGGTGCTCTTATTATTAGTCGTGAGCTGCCATTCGATTTTCATGTCATCCGTCATACTGGGATTTGTTCAAACTTTTTTGTAATGTTGTTTGCGAGTTTCGCCCTCCCCCATAGCAACAGAACAATATTTTTCACTTGATTCTGTGGTTGCTTTTCCCGCCTGGTCTCCGCATGGCATTCCATCATTTACAGCGGAGGTGCCTACGACAAAGCGATGATCGGTCGACCACTGTGCCTTTCTTAAGGCGAATGTCTATTTCCGAGAGTAAGTATGACAATCTAATTAGTAAATCGATCATCGATTTCTGTGCACAAGCCTTCCTATACCCGATGTACTGATATACAAAGTATGAATTTATGACAGTACATTTAGTTAGTTAATCTTTATTAATAAATAATGCCATATGATATTTCTTCTTTCGAGACAGTCTTTAAACCGAGTAAAATATTTCCGTAGAATTTGCAGAACATCGTCAACGCGTCGTTCCTCATTTTCACTTCAGAAACGATAACTAGTTTAGAATCAATGGTTGGCCCACCCAGTATCCGTTTTTCGTCGTTATGATGCTGTGATAAAAGGTTATTAGTTTCTGCTACGTTGGCGTATGTTCGGTGCCTCCAAACGTCCTTTTATCATAGATAAAAGAAAGTTCAGTAGCATAAAAGCCTTCTCTTAAAGTTGAATTGGTGTGATCTGTTTGTTGCATGTATTTAATGAATTATTTCAATTTACTATAAATTACAGTGATTACCTAACCAAGTGAAATTTTAGTTCAGCGCCAACTTTTTGTCATTACCGATGGCTGGTGGATCCGTTTCGAAGGAACAATATCGACTACTTGCTGCTCATCATATCGATTTGAACGCAATCAAAAATAAGGTTGCCGCGGGCGGCTACGGTAGTCATAAAGAATTTGTAGCCGATTTCCAACTGCTTCTTCACAATGTCATTATTGTGTATGGAAGTGCGTATTTTTTAGATATTTATTTCGCATTTTGTTTGATCATTATATCTGTCTCTTTTCTAGAAGATAGCAACGTTGCTCAGATGGCCGATGATTTGCTTAATCAGATAAAGTTTGAGGTAAAAAAACATTTTCTTTTTCATCCGGTACTCTATGTTTTGAATTAATTCTTCTCGTTAGACCGAAGGTATGGATAACGCAGCATCGGGTTATTCCTTGACCAATGCTACTAATGCAACTTTGAGTTCGAACCAGGCGAAGTCACTTCAGACCGATGTGGTTCTTCCTTCCAAGCGTGAAAAAGTAAGCAATATCATAAAGCACTGCTATGTATATTAAATAGTGCGTTTTAGCTATTCAAATGAATTTTGTTGGTATTTGGGTGAGTTTGCTTCTAAAGCGTAAAGTTGTAGCTGTGCCCTGCTCATGTTTCGAAGGATGCCTCTGTTTCTGTCTGAAAACCATGGCACAATAGATAAACAGTTTGCTTTGCGATTAAGACGTGCTGGATTCAAATCCTAACTCGACACTAAACGTCGATAGGAGTTAGTAATGATTTTTCACAAAAGGCAGCATCGCAGTACTGTACGCTTCACTGTGATTTGTTTTACCATGCTATCCCTGCAGTCTTCTGTTTACGCATCCTTCAGGAGACGCTGATATCGGCGTTATAGCTAGCTTAGTCTGTTGTTTTTTTTGATTATTTAACATTATATTCTTTCTGCACGTTTACCACCATATTCACAACGATGATATCGAGTGTAAAGCTCTTTTTCAGAGTAAGCGCAAAGACGACTCCTTAGGATCCTCGGCAGAGTCGAGTCGCAAACGCAGACGATCGGACGCAAATTTGCAGTTCGCCGTACCCCAGAACGACAAGCTGCTTCCGCAGTCAGAGGAGGTAAGAGTACCGAGACAGGGTCGAAATGTATCCTGCTGCTGCTAACCTTCAGTTACTGTTAGGTACATGAAAGCAAACAACAGCTGGTCGTCAAGGCTCCCACAGAGCAATATACGACGTGCGACTGTGACACAAAGTACAAGCAGCTGGTCGTCGACCTACAACAGCAGTGGGTGATGGAATATAAGCAGGATCGCGAGAAGTGCCTAGCGGATTTGGCTGAGAAGGTGAGCGAGAATGAGTGGTAGATAACTGTCAAAGAACGTGTCTTGTGTGTAGCTCCATCGAGACTTCGTCAGCGATCAGGAACGATTACGCTCAGAGATGCTTACCCAGTTCAAACAAGAACTTGAAACGACGAAGAAAGACTTAGACATCAGATATGCTCAGCAGCTGAAATACGAAATCCAGAAGTTAATCGATAAGCACAAGAAACAGATTTCAGAGACGAAGAAAAAACAGTGGGTAAGGCGGTATGATAGTTGTGAGTAATTCCTTTTGATGTCATATCTACTTTAAGCGGTGTTCTTCCATACATAATTTCAAGAAGAATAAGGGCGCTGGTTGAGCATTGTTTCGATAAATAATTTATTTAAATAA